GGCAGAGGCATACCTGTGATAGAACTTAGTGTTGGCGTCTGCACCACGGAGCCAGTGTTGCTTCGCCCGTTGTCTCCAAAACACATCCTCCTGGGCCTCCAATTGCTTCAGCTGATTCTCATTCTGCTGGAATTTGGCATTGTTGTAATTAGTATAAGTATTAAAAAAAAAAGAGTTAATTTCAGAAATGGGGCTCCGACTATTTTAATTTTTCAAAATTATTCATCGTCTTTTATTTGGACAAAATAGACCCTGAATTATCAAATTTGATCCATCAAGAGTGGAATTAACTCATTAAAAAAATTAGAATGAAGTTCTGTGGGTCCTATCAAAAGTGCTTACATCAAAAGTATGAATGCGCAAGTAAAAATGCGAAGTAAAGTTTATAAGTATTTGTAGCATTATCCATTTATAATTTTTCATTTAGAATAAGGGTATATATAAGTATATAACCTTTCCGACTGTTAATGTTATATAATTATTTAGAATAAAAGTTGTTGTGTTGATAATCCCACCAACAAAGCCAAAACTGGGATTAAAAGATTGTTAGTTATACCATTGGCCATTTCATTTTTTTTTTTTTTTTTACTTTTTAATTTTTTTATTTTATTTTATTATACAAATAAAATTAATATAACAATATATTATTAAAAAGCTCTAATTAAAATATTTTAAATCACACCAATAATGATATTTTTATTTTAATGTTTTAAATTAATATACGATAATAATAAGTCACTATATTAGGTAAATTTTCAAAATACTGTAGTTGGATTTTTATAGAGTTAATACCGAAAATGGTCCTCAATTATAGTGGTTTTTCTCAATTTCTCAGTATTGACCTCTTTTTACTCCTGACCCTGTGAAGTGCGAAATCCCTTTTTCTCAGTATTTGCCTTTCTGTACTCTTAACAGAGCCAGAGGCGGACCTACAGTGGGGGCAGTGGGGTCAGCTGCCCCCACTCACCCCACCCCCACCCCTTATATAACCCATGTATGTATATGTGTATATATAGTACAAGCTTTAGTATAAGATTTAGAAAATAGAGTATTGTTAACAAAGTGTAGCTTAGCCTAGTTGGCTGAGCGTGTGGTTTGTCTAAACACAAGCCAGGGTTCGAATCCCCTCTATCTAGTTGGCTGAGTGTTGGTTTGTCTGAACGCATGCTTGGGTTCTAATCCCCTTTATCTACTTTCCACATCTCATTGTTCTTATTAACACTACCTTTTCTCATTATTTCACATTTTCACTATTATATTAATAATGAGATGAGATGTGTAATTTATAAGGGATCTTTTATTCGAATTATTTTATCAAATTGATTATGTTCATATTTTGTTATGAATATTTTTATAATGTTTTGATGTGTTTTATAATTTTCTTATATCCAACATTATTTATTTATTTATGACTATACTTTTTAAGTGTTTCATTTTTTTTTTCTAATTATCAATTTTGCTTTAATATTTTGCCCCCGCTGAAAAAAATTCCTGAGTCCGCCACTGAACAGAGCAGAGGTGAATGAACCATAGAGAAGAAAGTGCATGGATGAATAGGAAGGAAGCAAACCAAGTCCACTGACAAAATTGGCATCATTCATATACCCTACGTTTTATGTTCGCCTTTGATATTCTTGCAAGAGCAGCACTAAATTTAGGATGAAGGGAAAAAAATGAAATTTACATCATTGCCTTTAAAAATCTGCAATGTTCCCTACCACCTTTTCAAGAAAAGTTCCATTTTCTCCAGTGAAACAAACTTGAATTTTCATGAGCAAAATGAAATTGAGAAAGAAAAGCTAATCATCACATATCAAGTATTTGGCATCATCTCACATTCAATGTTGTCATGATTACTGAAGATATTTCTGTTGGAAAAAATAGCATAAGTTGGCACAAAATGACAATTTTAGTAGCTATTTTGTGGTACAATTATTAGTGACGTCCACTTTCGATTTGGGTCTGGTCAAAGTGTATTCGGGTTCTTCGTAGTGAGACGAAGAGATTGATATATTGTACACTCAAAACGGATAATGGGTGAATGAGATATTGATTCTCAAAGTAGACCCATTTGAGTTGAAAAATGAAGGGAAAAAGTGAAGCTTTTGTCCCACACTGGTTTGGATAGTGGATTCGCACCACTATTTATACAAGAGCCCTTCTTTCACGTGTGAGGGTGCAAATCAAATCCCAAAGTGAACTTAAAAAGGCATAAACTCGTGTACGCCTGGGCAACCCATCGCGGTACACGTAAGTTGATGGTAGGGCAACATAACGAAATATATTTTCCAGCTCTCAAAACTCTGCTCCTACTCAACTCTGCTCCTACTCTTTTCTTTGCCGGGTTCATTCGTTTGGGTGCTCAAACGTTGAACCGTAGTACGTTTTATCCTGGGAAACCTAGCCTACAACGTTCTTAGGAGGTAGCAAATAAAGTTTTAAGGAAAGAGTGTTTCGCTCGACTCGTGGTAACCACCAACCCGAACCTACACCGTATTCGTTCGTCTTTTTCCTTCCCAAATTTTTTGTAAAATAATAATCCTTATTTTGATACAAGCGTGACAGAAGCCTCATTGGCTCATTGACATTCTACTAAAACAAAAACAAATGTGGCAATTTCAATTTGACAGTGTAAGAGTAGCCACCCTTCAAGATGCAACTTTGATTTTTCACTTGCTAAGACACAACAATATTGAATGAAATTTGAGTCATTTACTCTTGTCAAATGTAAGAAAACCATAATAGGGTAAAAATGTAAAGCTTTGGTTTAAAGTCCAGAAGCAAAGAATTTCACTGAATTGAGAGAAAAACAAACAATAGAATATGGCACTCCCTATTACTAAACTAACCTTGTAGCTCATGATGAAATTCTGATGAAATTCTGCAGCCCCTTCTTGGATTATTGTTAATAACATGAATTTGGATTATTTTATTCTTTTCCCGTGAGATGACCAACGTGTTATAACAGTGATTTTGATAGGATGTTTTGGAGCCTTAACTAATTGCTACCCCATTACAGAGCAAATTTAAAAAAGGAAAAAAAGCTCTGTAGAAAACCGGGTGCCTCTGCTCCGTAGAAAACTCCGTAGTGTTGACAATGGAGTTCGTGGAAGAAAGCAATAAGAGAAAATGACTGTTGTACCCCTCTACTTAACGCTAACAAACTGATGCTTAACGGAAGGACCAATACTGGAACAAATTTGATAGTCAAGAGTCTATTTTGACGAGGACCAATTTTAAAAAATTGAAATAGTCGGAGGACCGATGCTGGAATTAACTCATTGATTTCAATTATATTCAGTAATGAAACGTTGTTGGTTTATTGTCACAATATTGATGGTTTATATTTACAATATTGAATTTTCATTTTTTTTTTTCAAAATGCAACTACATCATAATACTAATGAACGTAAAATAAGTTTTTTTCTTTTTGAAAACATGTAAAATAGGTTTATTAAGAGAATACTAGAAGTTCATTTTTATAATACTGTACTGAAGATCATTTTATCAATATTGTCAGTCCATCAATAAGCACCTAAGAGTAAAAAATAAATAAAAAATAAAAAATAAAAACTACCAATATGATTATCATTAAAATGATCCTAATGCATATTTTTAATAATATATTTTTGTCACATTGATTTTGTTTTTACAAAAAAATTAAAAATAAAGAATAATATGTGTAAATGATAATGTTGGTCTTAGGTAAGCAAAAAGTTTTGGAGGGAGTGGAAGGTTGAATAGACTTTCTAACGATTTTCTAAACTTTTCAAAATAGCTCTAAGTGAGCTTAAATTTCGAAAACATAATTTTAAAATAAAGTTTGGAAACAAGTTTAATTTTCTCACAGCGGAAATCTTTAACTTGTCGTAAAAAAAGTAACTAATTTTTTGAACAAATAGCGTATTAGTGGTTCGAAAACTTTCTTACTCCACCTCAAGGATCGGAGGTTCCACTAAGTATTATTCCAAATAAAAAGTGATGAAAAGCATCAACTTCTACTAGTGATAATCCTTCAAATAGGGGCTAATAGAATTAAATCCCTAAAATAGGCTCTAAGTGGCCTATTTATTCAATATTCTAGAGAGTGTTTAGAGAGTGTGTTGTAGAGAAGCAGAAAGAGAAGCCCCCTCTAATGAAGGGGTAGAGCCTTTTATGTAGGCACCTGACCCGTACCAAATACCGATCATATGTACAAAATACGTAGGGCGGTATACTATTCCCTATTAGGGGCCAATCACAAATTAAAGTCGCCCTATTCTTCGTTATCCAATCAAACCTAGCCAAAGGGTCGTCCACAAAGTCGCCTTACTAGTTGATCTCACAACTCCTTCAGATGGAAAGATGGTTGTTGGTTTGTTGAGTGTTAGACTTGGAAATCTCTCATATTTCTCTTTTGCTAGAGAGCTTGATTCGGGTTGATTGCTTTGAACACTTACACGTAGAGTTTTTATCACACTAGCATATTCTCTCTCAGCTTGGGGTCCTCCTTTTATAGATGAGAAGAGATGAGCACCAACTTGATTTTTGAATCTTCCCGTTGTCACTTAATTTGCAAGTGGTAGTCGTCCAAAAAGTTATACAATCCCCCAAATCCGCTGCCATTCAATAACTTCTGCAACTTATCCGTAGGGTAATGCTCGTTTCCCTATTTTAGCTTATAAGCACTTCCAAAATAAAAAAGAGTTGTCTTATCACTAATCTGTCTCTTTTATAAACTTCTAGGTATCAGACAAGTTGCATTCTCAAATGTCTCATTTTGTTTTTCCTTGAATGATCTCCTTTCAAGGTTTATCTCTCTTAAAACAGTCTCCAACATGCTAAGAAAACATAGGAGATTCCCTTTGATCATCTACTCATCTAGGAAGACTTGTCAATACTTCTAGTATTACCTTAGCTTCCTTCCGGCCTAACTCCTCCTGCTTGCTTCCTTCCGATCAGTCATTTGTGAAGCTTAACTTATTTACAACAAAGAATAATCGAGGGGTCTAAAGTGTTTATACACATACACTCTACACCATCAAAATCTATTACAAATAATCTTAACATATAATAACAAATTGATGTCATCTTAATGAACATAAAATATATTGTTATAATAAACTTACAGTATTATAATTATGAACCATGATCAATGATATTTGTTAATGAAACTACGTTTTTGTTTCCATGTTTCTTCATTTTCGTTCCCATTGATCGGAAATATCCTTACCTCTTATTTCAAATGTTCTGCAACAAGATGATCGAGAACAAAAATTTATATACAATAACAAATATATATTTAATCAATTAAAATATGAAATATTGATTTATTAAACCACAAAGTATTCCACAACACACACCTACAATCCCTAAATAATAATATCTCACGAGTAAAATAAAAATAGCAATTGTTATATCGACATAGCAGATGTAGGATTAGAGCAGGAGGCAGTAATATTTGGGGAAGTATATAACCCACTTAGCAAACCCTTAGCAATCCACCTATATGCTGCCTGTGTCAAGTGCCCACCATCCCATTGGATATAAGATGACGGAACATCGCAGGAATGCGAGGACGGATAGCCACATTTTGCGTTCTCGTCCACGTTGTATGGACCACCACTTCCGCAACAAGCAATAAATCGAGTTTCATTTTTAAAACCTATATAAAAAAAATGAATAAAAAATTATTACAACCTATATAAAACAAAATAAAATAAAGAGCAAATACCGATTTTGATCTCACGAGTATTAACAAAATGGCACTTTTAGTCCAGATGTTTAATTCCTACCAATTTTCATCCACGACTATTATTTTAGAACCAATTTTAATTTCGTACACAATTATTGTTTTAGTGTCAAAATTCACCACTCCGATCACCCCTTCATTTAAGACATGCTGAAATATGAAATTATTAAGGGTATTTTTGTCCTTTTCAAGTTAAGATCTCAATTTGAGCATAAATAAGGGAATTTAAGTCTTAAGATCGATCCTAAATCACAATTCTTCTCTTCAAATTAAGGTAGGATGAGGAGGAGAGTTGCAAATTGGGATCAATCATAGGGCTTAAATCCCTTTATTCATGCTTTAATCGGGATCTTAAGTTGAATAGGACGAAAATACCCTTAAAATTTTTAGATTTCGGCATGTCTTAAAAGGATGAGTGACTGGCATGGCGTGATGAATTTTGACACTAAAATAATAACTGTGGATGAAAATTGATACTAAAAGAATAATTATGGATGAAAATGGGTAGAAATAAAGTTTGTACTAGCTAGTTAGCTAGTCAGGTGGTCATTAATAGAGAATAAAAACAAAGTATATGAAGTTCCATACGGACCATACATTTGATTTGAGAGTACATGATAACTATGGCCCACAAATAAATATGGATTTTTTTTTTTTTTGGGGGGGGGGGGGGGGGGAGTGAGGGGGTTATAAATATGGAGTATTTATTGGAATGTAGATAATATTTTTAGATGGACTAAAAAATAAAAATGCTACACAAATACAACTTTTTATTAATCACTTCTGAATTGGAAAAGAAACACTATTTTTTTTTTTTGAATTACTGATAAATTGACTGACCATATTTAATAAAGAATATATATATATATATATATATATATATATATATATATATATATATATATATATAGATGAGACGTCAAAAATGGTTAATTAAAAGTGATAATTATAAAAGTCTTTAATTTAAAGAGGTTAAAAATAAAGACACGTAAAAGGAGTGTAGAGAAGCAAAGAGTATTACTCTAATAACAACAACAATAGTGTAATTAACCAGAAGCCACGGCCAATGAACTTATGGTCTGTGGTACAAAGTGATTCTCCTGAATGGAACTTTTCTGCCAATTCTTATTAAATTTAATTCAAAAAGAATTTGACCACTAGTGGTCGAAACTCCATTAAAACACATGATGATCTCACATGTTAAGTTTCGTATTTTGACGACTTCTGATGATAATTGGTGCTACCAACCACTTACAATAAATAGTTAATAATAGCAACGTAACAACTAATTTTTAAATTCTCCAAATTGGTCAAGAAACTAGGTCAATTCAAACTACTTTCTAGTGCTTAAAAATCTTGAATTTTCTAGAAGTAAAGTATATTGTTTTATTTTATTTTATTTTAAATTTAAGTATAATAACTCCATAATTTTGAATTGAAGAGTAGTTGAGGAGTGGTACTAACCATATTTTTTGGGAGAGAGAAGAAGTTCTAATCCAGCATTGTAATAATCAGCATAAGTAATAAAAACATTAGGATAATGTTCTTGAATCCGAGTTAACTCTTTTCGAAGCAATCCATTATGTTTTTGTGCAAATTCATTGAGCCAAGTGAGACAACCGGTAATGGGATCATAATCTTCTTCATTGGAACGATAATAAACTGTTAATGAAACTCCCATGCACCCATCTGGCAACATCCCAGGCACCATGAGGTTTACAACACCTAGCTTAATTAGTTCCTGCATGGCATCACACATATTATATTTTATTATTTTCATCCGTAAAATATTCATCAATACTTGCATAAGTAATTGATAAATTTAATTGTCACTCTCCATAAAAGTTCTAAAATTTTCACCAATAAGCATAATTAAGCTAAAACATGTTTTCCCTATCAAAATATAAATAAAACATGACAATATTCAAAAGGCATGAATAAATTTGATTACTTTTGATATCCTTTTTTCTTTTTAACTCAAGATTTAAAATTTCTTATTCAATATTGCTCATGTGACATATTTAAATTGATGCTCCACCAAAAGTACACCAAGCACTCCAATGCAATGCTCACCCTCTCCTAAAATCATTGATGTATCAACAAATCTAATCAAAAACATACTCTAAGCTAATGAACCGCAAAAAAAATAAAAAAAATAAAAAAAATAAAATAAAAAATAAAAAAACACAAAACAAAACAAAACAAAACAAAAAAAAAAAACAAACAAACAAAAACAAACAAACAAACAAACATGTAACCATGCTAATAATCACCACCGGTGAAAAAAAAAAAAAGCAAAAGAATAACGTTGGAAAATGATTGAAAAATCTTTAAAAATAGCCTAAAACAAAGAGCATAACGTATTTGGAATGTCAATGCAAGGAAAAATTGAATAAAATTACTCTCATTCCCCCACCACTTAAATTATGGAAAAAAACAGTTAAAAAATACTAAATCTTAGCCATAAGATATTGTACAATAATGGACAGCCTGGATTAGATCACAAGTTCTCACTTGGGGAGTGGCTCTAATATGAATCTGACTATATATAAGGAAAAAGATCAGGTGCGAACAAACTCTCAGTAAAAAATGATGTGAGATTTAAGCCGTTTATCTAATCTAGATCAATCACCCAGAATGAAGAAAAATTAAAAATAAAAACTATTATTGGAAGTTGAATTCTTCAAATCGCAAGCGTTAAGGTGAGAAACACTTTTGCAACAATTAAGAAGGTATTTGGTTGGATGTAATTAGAATTCTTTTCCAATACAATTCAATAGGAAATAAAATTATATTATATTGTTTGGTTGGTGGGAATTGCTAATTAACCCTAATATATGGGAGGGTTATCTCAACTACTAATTAACCCTCCTTAAGTTCCTAATGGCCCGTTTGGTTCATGAAATAGGTCGGGAATGGCATAGCATTCCCAGTAATAGGCCAATTCTTTTGTTTGGTAACAATTTCTATTACCAGGAATAATATTCCTGGTAATAGCCTATTACCTCAAATAAGGTAATAGCTATTACTAGGGCCCCCCGTGGTATTAGCCTATTACTGAACGCTCAGGAATAGATTTTAGAATTTTTTTCTTTTTTACACCTTTCTTTAACCTAATTTTTTTATCCTATATATAAAATTTATCCTATTTCACCACCGTCGTTGCCACCACCACCATCGCCACAACAGTCGCCGCCCCCACCACCACCGCCGCCCGCCACCACCAGCATCACCACCACCGCCACCACCATCGCCGCCTGCGCCACCACCCAGCAGCACCACCGCCACCACCGCCACAATTGTCGCTGCCCCAGCACCACCACCACCATCACATATTTTTATAAGGGTATTTATGTCTTTTAAAACCTATTTCATTTCTATTCCTTAAATTAACCAAACACTGTAATATAATTCCTAAAGTCTATTACTTCCGCGAACCAAACAACAGAATACAATTTCTATTCTATTCCTTGCCTATTCCATTCCTTATGGAATAGCATTCCTATTACTTCAAAATTCATTCCGTGAACCAAACATGTTGTAGTATAAGGCTGACCTCAATTGCAGATGCAACAGCGTTAATAACCAGAGGCTGGAGGCGATGAGCATCCTCAACCCTCTTACTCAAAATGGCAGAAGCATAATCGTTGCCTCCAAAAGGCCCAAAAACTATTAATGACTTCTTCAATGTTTCGTCACAACCTGCAACAAAAAGATTAGTCTTTCAAGGCTGGGAATCAATTCAAAGGTGAGATAAAGTTAAAGTTACCTGAGGTTTTGCAGATAGATGGGAGCAGGCTTTTGAACATGTTGATCTGAGACATCATAGAGATATCGTCGCGAGAGTAACTCCAGTTTGCCTGAAGGACATCATCTGTGAGAGCTGGAGCTCCAACCACCGCGAAGTTCACACCTCCTCCAGGATTTGCATTTCCGCCACCGCTATAAGGCGGCACAAGTGGAAGCCCATAGTGCTCCGCTGCAAGTGGAAATTAAGCTAAAACATCAAAACCACCAACAGCAGGTATAAATGATTAGATTAAAAACAAGAGAGTATATATGAACCAATGAAATCTATGATAAGACGGCCGTCGGAGCAGCGGCCGGTGGGATGGTGGAAGAATGTTTCCCCATAAGGAGGAACGCTGCAACTGGGAATCCCATCATACTGTAAAACTCCCTTGGTGGTTAAAGAAATATAGTTTCCGGTGTCGGTGAGGGAATCGCCAAAAGCGAAAATGGAAGTGTAGAATCCATCAACAAATTGTGAAGAAGCCAATGCTGTCAGTAGAAGAGCGCAGGCCACTATTGGAAGTGACATTTTTTTTTTAAAGGCTGAGGGAGCTTATTATTGCAGTGAGCAATTGTTTCTTAAATATTGGTATTTGGTATCGGTTTGAACCGAACAGTTCAAACAGAACAGTGCAAACTCACCGACATTTGGTCCTGTCTATTAACCCATTGAGTCACCCATAATTTATATCATTTCACATGCTCTGTCATATCGAAGTGTTGGGACCCTTAGGGTTAGAGATTTTTCAAAAGTCAAACTGCCAAAGCCGTACAGCATACGGGTTTGGCAGTTTGGCATCAGAAAATACTGGCCACTTGGCCTGGCGCAAAGGTCAGACTCCATGTACTCCATGCAGTCCTACACTAGTCATATATTTTCAAAATTTTACCAAAAGTTTCAGATTTTTTTAAGTTATACTTTGGTCCTGTTTGGTAAAATGGCTGTTAGCTGATAGTTGATTGTGTTAATTAGAGGGTATAAATAGTTGATAACATTAGCTGATTGTAGAAAAATGTTTGGTAAATTAACTGTTAGCTGATAGCTGTTTAGTATAATTTCTTTTCTCAAAAAGCTAATTGAAAAAGTTGATAGGAGTAGCTTTTTTAATTTTAGCCTTTTGGAGTTGCAAAAAGCTAATTAACCAAACATTTATATTGATATTTTAACTAAATTAAAAAATTAATAGTGATCAAATAAGCCAAAATTAGCCTATAGACCAATTTTTTACCAAACAGGGCCTTTATGTATTCCTAAATCTTACTCCGTCAAATTTACTTATTTATGTGCTAAATATTGATAAGCTATATTTTCTTTCATGTAGAGACCTTGTAATTGTGTATATATCAAAAATTTTAAGTATAGAAGTATAAGAATGGGAGTATATATAATATTTCCTGATTTTTTTTTTAAATTGACCATTCTCCACTACTCCACTTGCCGTAATCCATTACTCCACTATAAACGTTCATATTCCAATCAGACATAGTTTCACTCTATAAATTAAAGACTTCTCCAACATTTTTCTTACCCAACTCAGC